AGCCTTAACATTACAGCTGATGTGATTTCAGATTAGAAACGTAGTTTCATGTTTTTCAACTCTTTATTGATAATAAATTTGTGATCTAATCGGATTAATCCTTCTGAATTGTGTCAGATGTTGTAGTTTTCTTTTGTTTCTCGTCTTTCTACAGGGTCTTAACTTTAAATCAGTGTGCAACCGAAGATTTTATCTGTTTAACTGTCTGCTTAGCTCCTTTCTTATGTGGGAGTAATATATTCGCCGACACAAGCTGTGAAACTCTGTCGGATTCGTAACGGAAAAATCTGTGGAAAAACTACGCGATGGTAGAGTGTTGAAGCCCGATGGTGGAGCTGTGTTTTTGGTCGAAGATCTCATCGGAGCTATTCGTTTTCTTCCTATTGTCTCTCATGTTGACACATAGGTTATATGGCACTTTCTGTTCTTAATCTTATCTCATTGTATTGGGTTAGGTTAAGCTGAGCTTAGTTAATATTAAGTTGGGCTTCCCTTTGTTGGGCTTAAATCAATGGAAATTTGGCCGACAAAAAAAAAAAAATTGAATTAAGTTTTTTTATCTACAAGAAGAAAGAAAAGAAAAATAATGATTGTGCCGCTTTCTCCAGCAACGTGTGTCAGATGACGATGACTCATTTCCTCGGATTTCATCCGAATATCGCATTTTCTTAAACATAAACATGGTTAAGATGATCCTCACGAGAACTAAACTAAAAATTTTCTATCAAAAAAGTTGTGACGTTCAAATAAGAATTCAAATAATCAACATAAATGTTCGGAGAACCTGTGTTTATGGAAACAAAAAAAAGGTGATGGTTTAGTTCTAAACATGTTTATTAGAGATCAAAAGCCAATTTGTTGTGTATATGGATTTCAGGGGTGCAACTCTTTTTTTTTTTTTTTCTGGTGAGATTTAGGGATGCAATTCTTGAAGTAAAACCTTGCTTCCAACACATTTCCACTCCATCTACCTAATTAACTCTTAAAATAAAAAAAGCCTTAGTGCATAAGTGGTAGGTGAACTTTAGTCTCTTGGAAAAATATGTAAAGAGGCGAAATCAAAGTTGATAAACAATTAACTCAAAACCCTTAAGTATCGTGGCCGTATCCATTGCCGCTAATCTCTTCCTCCGACTCTTAAAACCAAAATTACTATTATACCCCAAAAAATGACAGAGCGTGTGTTTCTCACACTCAACGGAACCCTCCTATCTCGTCCCAAAACCACCGCAACAACAATGTCTTCTTCTCTCCGTTCTACCACCGCCGCTTCTCGTCTCCTCCGCTCCTCCTCCTCCACCAGATCCACTCTCACTCTCTCCGCTTTCACTTCTCTCTCCTTCGCCAGATCTCTCGTCTCTTCTCCACTTCTCTCTTCTTCACCCCTTTCTCAGGTATATATATCCTTCTAAAGCCTGATTTTCGAAATAATCCGATCTGATTTTTGATTCTTCTGTTGGATTTCCAGAAGAAATATCGAGTTTCGTCGGTGAATCGGAGCTTCAACTCCACCGCCGCAACTACTAAATGTTCAGCTTCAGATCCTGATCAGTTAAAAAATGCTAGAGAAGATATCAAAGAGCTTCTCAACACCAAATTCTGCCATCCAATTTTGGTTCGTTTGATTCCACTAATCACTTCTCTGATTCGTTTTATCGGTTTTTTGATATTATGTTGCGTTGTGTTGAATCATAGGTTCGATTAGGTTGGCATGATGCTGGTACATACAATAAGAACATTAAGGAATGGCCACAGAGAGGTGGAGCTAATGGAAGTTTGAGATTTGAGATTGAGCTTAAGCATGCTGCGAATGCTGGTATAATATCACTTTATACGAATACGAATTAACGTCGTTTACTTGTGTTTGTTTCTATAAGCTTTGTTTGTTGTGTGGTTTAGGTCTTGTGAATGCTTTAAACTTGATTAAGGATATCAAAGAGAAGTACTCTGGGATCACTTATGCTGATTTATTCCAATTGGCTAGTGCTACTGCTATAGAGGTGAGGTTGATGATTCTTAACCTAGTTTTTACTGGTTATGAAAAGATTTACTAAAGTTTTGGTAGTTTTAGGAAGCTGGAGGACCTAAAATACCGATGAAATATGGAAGAGTTGATGCCTCTGGTCCTGAGGATTGTCCTGAAGAAGGAAGGCTCCCTGGTAAAGTTTCTTCATTTACTGGTGTTTTCGGGCGTTCTTTGGTTATATTATTTGGGGGTATTAAAGTTGTACTGATTACAAATATCGCATGTTTGTTCTATAGATGCTGGTCCTCCTTCACCTGCTAATCATCTCAGAGAAGTTTTTTACAGAATGGGACTAGACGACAAGGTGATTGCGGTCGTAATTTTATCATAGTTATGGAAGATCAGTGAGTTAATTATCCATATTGATTTTTTTTTTTTGTAAATGCAGGACATAGTTGCGTTGTCTGGGGCTCACACGTTAGGAAGATCTAGGCCAGAACGTAGTGGTTGGGGGAAGCCAGAGACGAAATACACGGTATTATCCAGTTCTATTACGTATTGTCATGTTTGGGATTGCAGAACGTCAATGGAATAGAACATTTCGAATGTTAAGTTCTTAATGTGTTTTTTTCGCATTATAGAAAGAGGGACCAGGCGCACCAGGAGGACAGTCATGGACACCAGAGTGGCTGAAGTTTGACAATTCTTACTTCAAGGTTGCATTTTCAGAAGATAACTTTTACTTTACACTTTGTAATAATAGTCTTCATTTTTCGATTTTGATGTCTATTAATATAATTATGATAACAGGAAATCAAGGAAAAGAGAGATGAAGATCTCCTTGTCCTACCCACTGATGCTGCCATCTTTGAAGATTCTTCTTTCAAGGTAACAAACCGAGGTTGAAACATATCAATTCGAAGAAACTTTCTGAGTCTTTGCCTTTAAAACTGAAACTGCATTGCAATTGCAGGTCTATGCTGAGAAGTATGCTGCTGATCAGGATGCATTCTTCAAGGATTACGCTGTAGCCCATGCGAAGCTCAGCAATCTTGGAGCAAAATTTGACCCTCCTGAGGTTAGCATTCTTTAGATTTCTGTCATGTGAATAGCATCAAAACCATTATCACTCTTGACCTTATCATCTTTAACCGAAAACGACCTTGAAATCAATCTTTTGGTCTACATAGAGAATTTACAAATTTGGCGAATCTAGAGCTGTGGAAATTAGATATCATCTTTTTGACATTGGATGAGTCTCCACTCCATTGATGAATAAATTTGCAGAGGCTTAAGAACTGATTATCTGAATCTTTTGTGTAGGGTATCGTTATCTAACGGGGCACCTAATTTACTCGTCCAGTAAGCTTTCTTCCTCTTATATTTGTTTTGCTGTCATTGAAAATTCCAAATGTACATGATGTTTTACCTCTATTTAAACAGGACTTATGATATAGAGAAACGTAGTTCAATAATGATAGAGAAGAAAAGCAACGAGGAGTGAGTTGTTGGAGAACTTTTCCTGCGAGTACTTTTCGAGATATCTTTTGGACAATGTTTCTGGCTGTTCAAAGGATTTCGCGGTACAATTTGGTTGATTTTGTTTAGCCGAAAGTATTTGATCGTTTTCATGATTGAATTATCAATAATGGTTTTGGGCTTTTTGATGTTTTCTGTAGTAAATTGTGGAAGTGATAATCCAAAATCCTTTACAAATTTTGTCTTGAATTGAATAAAAACATAAATAAACTCAAAGTGGAGTTGTTGTGCTCATACTCTTGTTCAGCTATGGTTCTTTGCTCGAATATATTTGATTGCCCGTGTTTGACTGATAACACTTCCTTGATCCATGATAAAGCTTCTTTAACATCAAACCTGTACTTCTCTAGCTCGACAAAAGACACTTTGTTGACATATATTCGGCTTATGGGAAAGTCCTTCCCCAGATTCTCTGCTTTCTCCGGTAAGTCGAGAAAAGTTTGCATAAATGCTAACGTAAACCTATCACGTAGGACTTCAGGTACCTCAAACAATGGACCGAAGGGAGGACAATGTGGTCTTCAAAAGTAGACCGCTCAATGTACTCCTTCCAAATTGTTAAGGTCTTGGCAAAAGGTAAACCAATCTCCGAATTGGGCACCACCGTCTTGTTGAGGTCTAAACTGTGCTCTTGTTCTCCTCTTTTCCTCTTAAGACTACAAGTATCTTTCAAACATGTTCTCTTGAGTTGAATGATTTTCCAAGCCACTAATTATTAACAATATTTACTTCATCTTATGTTCACTTAGTAGAAGATTATTAAAATTTGTTTTATGGATTTTATTGATTATATTTGTTTTGTAGGAAAATATTTTTTGTAGTTTAAATGCATCAAATTCTGGTAATAATATTAAAAATTTTGTTCACATTTATTGGCAAAATTTAATATTTAAAATTTTGAAATAATTATTTTGGTAAGTTTAGGATTCTTATGTGTTTTGCAATGAATATTAGAATAATCAAAATATCAATACAATAAAAACACTAAGGATCTTTCCAGGTCTGACACCTCAACTTTTTTGGCTATTCTCAGCATGACACATCATTAAAATCGTCATCCAATAAAAACATTTCGATTAATACAGCTCAGTATTTTCGTCTAATAATAATCCTTCTTTTTCCATGTCACTCTCTCGCACTAATAATGATTTCTGTTACAGACCCAGCAATTATTTTTGTTTGTACATAAAACAAGTGCCCAAGAAAAATAATCCCTCTGTTCCTAATAGTTTGATGTTTTGGAGTTGTCACACATATTAAGAACTCAATCATTCTTTGATCATTTTAAGATTGTTTTTTAATTTTAAATATTTTTAATAACTATCAACCAATAGTAGTGTAAGAAAGTTAATGATTTATAATCATTGTATCTTGAAATTTACAATTTATTATTATAAGTCAATAAAAATAAAATAAAATTGCTAGAAAATCAATCTTTGTGAAACAAACAACAAAAGCTAAAACATCAACTTTTTAGGAATAGAGGGAGTAGTAAAAGAACCCAAATCAAACCTGTCTAAATATTGTCGATGCTCTAAACTGGAAATAAGGCTATATATATGTCGATGGCAACAAGGAAGGTGTCGAGCAACGCACCTCTAGGATTAGAATAGATTTAGATTATTTTTAAATCGTTCGTGTCTATCTAGGATTTAGAGAGGGTTCACGAGGAATTGAAAAAGGGTGAGATTGATGATTCTGTTGTTAGCGTTATCAACATTGATTAATTAATTAAATAGTTCTGTTTGAATACCTCCATCGTTTTGAATTCATCTCATATTTGTTTTGGATTTCAATTGAATAGCTCCGTTTGTATTTTTCTTTTTTCTTTTTGTTTATGTTGATTATGAGTTTGTTATTTAGACTAAAGGGGACTAACTTTTGCGTGGTATTGTGATTAGAAAACTGAGAAATTATTGGTTGTTCTATATTGATTATGTGTTATCTCCTTTTTGTTCAGGGTGTATTTGTGTTATCGTAGCTTGGCACTCTAAATCTCATGCATTCTCATTTTTCCAGATTTGCATTGGTAAAATTTACATGTGTTATTATCACACTTCACATAATTGAGATTTCTATAAGTGTATTATACATTAAGAGATGAGATTTTGAATTTTGATATAATGTTTGTGAAAATATGTGTTCTAATGTTTCATATTGTTTTGTTGTGTGTGTTGGATGCAGCGCATCTTGACCAGCTTTCCTCATCGGCATGTGTATCCGATATTACATGTTTGATGGTTCTGTTTCTTGTGGCTTTTCAATTTACTTTCAAGTCCTTTTCCTAATTCACGTTTGGTTTGGAATGGTTTTGTTTATAATTCAAGCCCTGTGTGGCTTCTAGCTTTTAATTATAAACTTGGATTTGTAAGAATACGTTTGATTTTTATAAAAAGGTTCGTGAAGGAAGTTCTCCAATATATCTGCGTATATCCCATCGTCTAACAGAGTCAAAGATGAGAAAAAATGGAGATGTTATTCACTCGAAAGTCTGACAAGAGATGAATGTGTATGAATACGATCAACAACACGATCAACAAATCAATCTGCACCAAATTTAAGCAAAATTTAGAGAATAATGGCTTGACTAGAGACTCTTTTAAGGTGATGGATCGATTCAAAACCCTAAATTTAAATAGATTAGGGAATTTACATACATTGATTCCGAAAAATTCGAGATAAAACACATGGAATTATCTGAATAAAAAATTTATAGCGAACATGATCCCTAAATCACACAACTTTGAAAGTAAGAGAGAAAAATATTAAATACTGACCTGAGAAATTTAAACAGAGAAATTTTTTTATTTCTGATAGGAGAAGGTGAATTCAGAGTGAAGATTGGAGAAGTCTTGGAAGAATTGATAGAAGGTTAAAGGGGAAGAAGAAGATCACAATTAATTTGATACTTTTATTATATATATATATATATATAATCTCGAACCGGTGACTAATTCGATTGTCGTTGGCTTTTTCTACCGGATTAGGTTTGGGTTTAATACCAAATAGACATTGAATAAATCGTACAAGGAAAGATGCATGGTTGATAATATTTAGGGGTGGGCATTGCGGTTTAAGTTCGGATTGGTTCGGATTTGTTTCGATTCGGTTAATACGGTTTTAATAAAATTCAATCAAAATTAATTTGGTTTGGTTTATGTTCGTTTCGGTTTGTTTTTAGATGCGTACACTTGATGAAACTAGAAGTAATATAATTTTATATCCACATATACATTTTTAGAGGGGATTTTGGTTTTTAATTCATTTGGGTCGTGTTTTGACTCAATTTAATTATGTTCGGATCTTGGATAAGATAATTAAGGAAAAACATTAAGGAAAAACAAAACACAAATACACTGGATATAGATGAGATTGATGAGTTGCATCTACATGTAGACGCCTTCAAAGGGATGCGTAATCTCCGTTTTCTAAAACTTTACACAAATACAAAAATATCAGAAAAAGAAGACAGATTGCTCTTACCCAAACAATTCAACTATTTACCCAATACACTCATATTACTATACTAAGTTGGCAAAGGTTTCCAATGAGATGTATGCCTTCTATTTGGATCTCAAAACGTGACTATGGTTAGGCCACACTTATGACGTTTTAGTTAATTAGTTTTGGTGTTTTATTTATAAATTTGGTTTTCTTTTTTATGTTAAAGTGTTTTCTATTATGCATTAGTCAGTCAAAACAAATCAGTCAAAACGCTAAATAACGCTTGAAACTGCAACTGCCTGCTTCCGCAAAATCCCACAGCCGCAACCACAACCGCTGCATTTAAACTTGTCAAGCCTAAGACGGCGGAGCTTCTGATATCAGTATCAGCAACGGATGCTACACCTCTATGCGATCGCCAAGTAGTGTCTTTCTCTGTTTCTACAAGTATTTCTAATACGTTTTAAAGCATGATTAGGGCATGTTGTGTTGATACCGTTTAAAATAATTTGTTATTTTAGAATTTAGTGATACAGTTTGATTTTTTTTTTTAATATCGTTTCTTTAAAAAAAAATTTATATCATTATGTTAGTAAGTGGAAAACTAATGAAACGAGCCTGTCAATAAAATACCAAAGAAAGAAAAAAAAGATAACACAAAAGCCGAGCGTACCTAAGATTGTTTATGGGATCCGACTTGGATTCATTTTATTAAAGCCAATTATTGGTAGAAAAATAAATCAAACATTGATATGATAAGTTACTTAAAAGTCTTCGAAGACTAACTAAACTCATTCCCTCTCGTGCAGAGAAAACGGACGTCGTTGACTTTCTTCTTTTCCTCTTGAGTTTCTCTTCTCAAGATCGTTCCTTCCAAAAAAAAAAACAAAATTCTAATGGCTAATTCTTCCTCCTCTTCTTCTCGTAACTCGGGTTACGACGTTTTCACGAGCTTCAGTGGGGAAGATGTCCGTGTAACTTTCCTCACCCACTTTTTCAAGGAGCTAGACCGGAAAATGATCATTGCTTTCAAAGACAATGAGATTGAGAGAGGCCACTCAATTGGTCCCAAGCTTATAAAGGCGATAAAGGATTCGAGGATCGCGGTGGTTGTGTTCTCCAAAAACTACTCTTCTTCCAGCTGGTGTTTGAATGAGTTGTTAGAGATTGTGAAATGCCAGGAACATATGGAACAAATTGTTATACCAATTTTCTACGATTTGGATCCTTCTGATGTTAGGAAACAAGAGGGAGAATTTGGAGAGTCTTTTAAGAAGACTTGCAAGAACAGAACAAAGGATGAGATACAACGTTGGCGTGAAGCGTTGACCAATGTGGCAAATATTGCTGGATATCATACTGGGAAACCGTAAGAGATTTTTAATCCCATTAATATTGTTTATATATCTTAAATAAATGTTCCTTCTTGCAATTTGACTGCTCATGTTTTTTCTTGTTAGGAATGACGAAGCAAAATTGATTGAAGAAATCGCGAATAACGTTTTGGATAAATTGATGAAGTTAACACCATCCAAAGATTTTGACGAATTTTTTGGCATCGAAGAGCATATCAAAGAACTGAGTGTATTGTTGTGCTTGGAATCTCAGGAAGTGAGGATGGTTGGTATATGGGGTGCTACGGGAATTGGCAAGACAACCATTGCAAGAGCTTTATTCAATCGACTCTATCGTCATTTTCAAGGTAGAGTTTTTATAGACCGAGCTTTCATATCTAAGAGTATGGATATTTATAGTAGAGCCAACCCGGACGACTATAACTTGAAGTTGCATTTGCAAGAAAAGTTTTTGTCTAAACTTTTAGACAAAAAAAACTTGGAGATAAATCACCTAGATGCGGTGAAAGAGAGGCTGAAGAACATGAAGGTTCTTCTCTTTATTGATGATTTGGATGATCAAGTGGTGCTAGAAGCCTTGGCGTGTCAAACTCAGTGGTTTGGGGATGGAAGTAGAATCATTGTGATTACAAAAGATAAGCATCTCTTAAGGGCTTATGGGATTGATAATATTTATGAGGTTCTTCTCCCGTCAAAAGACCTTGCTATTAAGATGTTTTGTCGGTCTGCTTTTAGGCAAAACTCTCCACCTAATGGTTTTATAGAGCTTTCCTATGAAGTTGTACAACGTGCAGGGAGTCTTCCTTTGGGTCTTAACATTTTGGGCTCTTATTTGCGGGGTAGGAATAAGGAGATTTGGATGGAAATGATGCCGGGATTTCGTAATAAACTAGACGGGAAAATTGAGAAAACACTTAGAGTCAGCTACGACGGGTTGGATAGCAAAGACGATCAGGCGATATTTCGTCATATCGCATGTATTTTTAACTTTGAGACATGCAGTGACATCAAGAAACTGCTTGCAGATAGTGGCTTGAATGTCACTAATGGGCTTATAAACCTTGTCGATAAGTCCCTCATACGTATAAAACCAAAGCAGAAAACTGTGGAGATGCATTGTTTGTTACAAGAAACGGGTAGAGAAATTGTTCGAGCACAGTCTGTTGATGATCCTAGAAAACGAGAATTTCTAGTGGATGGGAAGGATATTTACGATGTCCTAGATGATTGCAGTGTAAGTTCTTTGTACTCCTTTCATAAATCATAAGTAACTCTATAAGATAAACATGCTATTTGTTAAGCAAAGATTTAATATATTTTTATTAATATTATATATTTCAGGGTACAAAAAAGGTCTTAGGTATATCACTGGATATAGATGAGATTGATGAGTTGCATCTACATGTAGACGCCTTCAAAGGAATGCGTAATCTCCGTTTTCTAAAACTTTACACAAATACAAAAATATCAGAAAAAGAAGACAAATTGCTCTTACCCAAAGAATTCAACTATTTACCCAATACACTCAGATTACTAAGTTGGCAAAGGTTTCCAATGAGATGTATGCCTTCTGAATTTTTTCCTAAATATCTTGTTAAACTTATAATGACGGGGAGCAAGCTCGAGAAGTTGTGGGAAGGAGTGATGGTAAGTTGTTATATTAGTTGCAAAATTAAGAATCCTCTCAATGTACTCATACTTTGCTTTTGTTTCTTGATTTTGGTTCAGCCACTTCAATGCCTCAAGACTATCAATTTGTTTGGATCTCAAAACCTGAAAGAGTTCCCAGATCTCTCGCTAGCAACAAGTCTAGAGACGTTGTCTCTTGGCTATTGCTTGAGTTTGGTTGAGGTTCCTTCCACTATTGGGAATCTCAATAAACTTACGTATTTGAACATGTTAGGGTGCCATAATTTGGAGACTCTTCCTGCTGATATTAACCTCAAATCTCTCTCTCACCTCATTCTCAATGGATGCTCACGTTTGAAGATTTTTCCTGCCTTATCCACCAACATCTCAGAGCTAACCCTAAATCTATTAGCAGTTGAGAAATTCCCATCTAACTTGCATCTAGAGAATCTTGTTTATCTTATAATTCAGGGAATGACGAGTGTGAAATTGTGGGATGGCGTGAAGGTACGTACGTCTCTTTCTAAAATCTCTCCAATCTTCTATGGTCAAGAAGAAAAGTGAATATATATATAGGCAACACCACTATTATGGTTAGAAATTTACAAAACGGTTATCGCTTAGTGGGCAATACAAGATGTAGGTTCTCTTGTGTCCGGGTTTAAATTCCATTTGATAAGGAGACTTATTTTCTAAATTGGAATATTAAAGTCAAAAAGTCTGAAGTTCCAAGAACTCTCAGGGTTTATTAGAAAAAAAAAACTTATTTTAGTTTTTTTTTTTAATTACTAAGAGGTTCTGGTCATAGGTCGTACATCCTCTCATGTCGGAGATCAGCATTTATTATGGTTCCTCCCAAGTGACTTATTTTAGTTTTTTTTATTATTATAATCATTTCATTTTGCTTTGTATTTTTTTCAGGTACTTACATCTCTTAAAACTATGGATTTGCGAGATTCTAAAAACCTGAAAGAAATCCCAGATCTTTCAATGGCATCCAATCTGTTGATATTGAATCTTAGAGAATGTTTAAGTTTGGTGGAGCTTCCTTCCACTATTAGGAACCTCCATAATTTGGCCGAGTTGGACATGTCAGGATGCACAAATCTGGAGACTTTTCCAAACGACGTCAACCTTCAATCTCTCAAACGCATCAATCTAGCTAGATGCTCACGGTTAAAGATTTTTCCGGATATCTCAACCAACATCTCAGAGCTTGATCTAAGCCAAACAGCGATTGAAGAAGTTCCTTGGTGGATCGAGAACTTCTCTAAGCTCGAATACCTATTAATGGGAAAATGTGACATGTTAGAACATGTATTCCTAAACATTTCTAAACTAAAACATCTCAAGAGTGTTGACTTTTCAGATTGTGGAAGATTGACTAAAGCTAGATGGAATGACTATTTAAGTCCGGTCGGAACCGAAGAAGACTTATATAAGCTACAAGTTCCTGATGAGGCTTCCTCTTCTCTTCCAAATAATTGTGTCCAACAAGTTGAGCTCATATTCATCAACTGCTACAAGCTGAATCAAGAAGCTCTCATTAGACAACAATTACTTTTCAAGAAAATGATCTTGCTAGGTGAGGAAGTGCCTTTGTATTTCACTCACCGAACTATCGGTAGCTCCATGGTCATCCCTCTCCTTGACACATCATTCTCTCAACAATGCTTCAGATTTAAGGCGTGTGCCGTGGTTGATCCAAATTTTTTGTTCCCAGCTCGTCGTTATAAGATAAATATCCAGGTTTGTTGTCGGTTAAGAGGCACATGTGGGAACTACTTTGATTATACTGATCAGCCACATCGCTTCTCAGCATCTAAGACGGACAATTATGTGTACATATTCGACTGTTGTTTCCCGCTTAAAGAAGTCAATGCTCCTCTAGCTGAACTCGACTATGATCACGTGGATATACAATTTCATCTTTACGATAACTACAAGCACCACAAACTAAAAGGATGTGGTATACGACTCTTTGAGGACGATGAAATTAGCAGTGATGATGATGATCCAAGCAATGAGACTGATTACAGTGATGAGTATGAAGAAACCGATGATAGTGATCTAGGAAATGAGACTGATTATAGTGAAGAGTATGAAGACCGCGATAGTAGTTATCTTGGAATTGAAACTGATTACAGTGAAGAGTATGAAGATCATGATAGTAGTGATCTTGGCGATGAGTATGATTACAGTGAAGAATGTGAAGACAACGAAGATAATGATCCTGGACTTGAGACTGATCGCAGTGAAGAGTGTCAAGACAGCGAGAGAAGTAGTAAACGAATGCGGGTAATCTTTTAGACAATTCATAATTCTTTTCCAAGATCAAACTGTTTCATATAGTGTATGACTTTAAATGGTTTCTGCAGATTATGTAAAATACAACTTAAGAACCTACAGATTTGCTCTGCAGCAGCGGAACAAAGGAAATGAGAAGCATCCAAGGATGAACTATGAGAGTCCAGAGGATTAAGCAAAACGAAACAGAGCACTCTTTTTTTACGTGTAGTTTTCTTCTGATGAATACTTTCAAATCATGATAGCATAGAGGATGTGAAAAATGTTACGTGCCAATGAAACAATAAAAAATTTGTAAAATGCGAATTGTCACATGTTTTAGCTCCCAGACATGAAATGTAGTGTCTTTTTTTTTTTCCCTACAATTCCTGAAATTCGTGTAGCTTCAGCTATATTTAAGACAACACGTTTAAATTGGCTGATTTTCCTAGAACTTCAAGATCAACGAATAATCATTAATAAGAAAATTTTATGAAGAGATGGTTCTCAATTAGAGCTTGGACGATCTATTAATGACAACTTGCCTCTAGTCGCGCAGACATGCTCCAACTCTGGTTTCAAACCAAAATCTGATGTTCTGTTTTTTTTTATCTCTATCTTTCTCAGCTCCCTTTTTCTTCAATTATGCTTCTGCCTACATTTCAAACACTTCTACTTTCACTAAAACATTATACTCTTACTAAGCAATAATTAGTTGTAAAAAGATATATATTTTATTTTTCTTGGAATGAAGGTTTACATTTCAGCAAAAGAAATAAGATTATTAGTCTTAATTAAATTCTATAAGTCATTTACAAGGGATAAATTTTCAGGACAATGAAGGTGATATACATATACATAGATTGCCATATCTACTCTATGCTTCTACGGTTTCCGCTGTGAAATTAATAAAATCTTGGAGAAGAATAAGGAGACGATTATACTTCTCTTTTTCACTTTCTCTCCTTGGCAACAATCTCCAATGGAGCTAAGTTGATAGTATTGTAAGGTTAATAAGGGCTGGATCAGTAAATGGAGAATATGCCGTTTTCCTTTCCCTTTCCTTTTTCCGCTCGCGATATAAGTCAGCAGAGTGAATGATCTCCCAAAGAATCAACCTAAACTTTTCCATCAGATGTAAAGGAGCTGAAGGAATTGGTATTTAGGGAAGACGTAGAAGAGGATTTGCTGATAGAATTGGTGCCTTTGGAAGGAGCAGAAGAAGGAACAGGAAGCTTCTTTGGTAGCATTTGTTCCCAATGGACTTGAGGGAATCTTGAAGCCTCTGAGACTAGTACAAGAAATGAGAAAAGAGCCAAGAACATACAGATTTGTTTGCACCAAACAAACGACGTCATCTTAATCGTCGTGCGAAGATTGATCAAGTGAAGATTGATACAAATATGATCAAGTGATTAATGAGAGAGGGAAAGAGATGATTGTATATAAGAGAAGATCAATGAGGCTGCTTAGGTGTTTGGTTTAGTAAAGATGATGTCAATTGGCCGACAAGAGAGACCACTTTTTCATTAAATACTTTCTTCATGTATAGTCTATGTTTAATTTGACACTAATACTAGTGTCTTTTGGAAGCTGTAAGAGAGCTCAATAAGATTATCTTAATTCCAACAATCATGGTAACACGAGTGTTGTTCTTTTTATATACATAAAGTTTTTTCGAGCATTGGACAAAAGGTCTTAAAAACAGCACCTTTGACACTTTTGTATCCTCTTCTGCCAACAATGGTGCTATTTTTCAATTGCTTATATTCGGTATTCGTGTAATGTGTATTAAGCTTATGTGTGCCGTATAAAGTACATAGCGTAATTATTGACAACGAACATTTCCTTTGTTGAACAAAAAAGTATCATTTTCTTATAAGTACTTTAATGTTAATTAACTAGAAGTGCAATTTAGGCAACTCCTAGCGACGATCAAAAGACTTCTCATGAACCATAAAGAATAAGATTATAATGCACCATAGAGCTATAAGACTATACATTATTATTATCTTACTTATATTACTTGAGAAATGCTAATTCAAAACATAACCTTAAATTTGTTATAAGAAATAACTTATTTCAAAATAAATTATTGACTAAAACAATTTTTTGATTTGAATATGATATAATTATATTAATTATGTTGTAATTTTGTGTTTCAAATGTATAGTGTATAGTGTATACTAATTCAAATTTCTTATATATATGAATGTTTGTTTTGGATTTAAAGTCTTAAATTTAAAGTTTTAATGACCTTCTAAAGAAACTAAATGTTTTGTTAAAACCTATATTTATTAAAAAGTACAATTATGAAAAATATATTTATTTTTATATTGTGTGAAAAAAAAATAAAAACTCTTCATCTGTAGTCGACTACGTACAATGGCATGTTGAAGGTTTTTTATTCAAGTGGTGCAATGACTTGTTGAAATTGTTGAATCCATATAAATGGAGCCCAATAAAGCCATGTGGCACATACTATTTGGACACATAAATTAGTGGTAGTATATAAGGTTTTCTGCAAAACAACTATCATAGCCTCATCCCACCATTTTCATAGTGACATGCTCTAGTCTATCAAAATTCAACCAAAATTCAAAACTTTATATGAATCACTTAAAATTCAACCAATATTCAACCAAGATTCAACGAAGATTTCCGATCATATAGAAAACAATTCAACAAACACTTACATCAATATTTTGACATGTGTAGAATAGCCTTCCATAACCTTTTCGGACAACGACGAACCGGGGAAGGCTATAGAAGGCTATTCTACACATGTCAAAATTTTGATGTAAGTGTTTGTTGAATTGTTTTCTACATGATCGGAAATCTTCGTTGAATCTTGGTTGAATTTTGGTTGAATTTTGATATACTGCCACGTCATCATACACGAAAGAGCCTATATTGCGGGTGACTTTTGAGATTGTGGTTTGACCTGTATTTATTTGACATGGAGGTTTGTCTTGCAAAAAAAAACTACATGGAAAGTTTTTTGCACAAAACCCTTATGTTTTCAAACGGAGTTATCGAGTGCCACGTCATCGCTACACGGGAGGGCTGTATTGCGAGTGACTTTTGAGATTGTGGGGTTGACTTGCATAATACAGATTTGGAGGATAAACTTGCAAAAGAAATTGACTTAGAGGGTTGTTTTGCAGAAAAATATGGATTGGGACACATGTTGTGTTTTTATTGGCTTCTGAAATTTTTGATAGTTTATTTTCACCCGAATTATTTGAGATAAATTATATATAGTAAATCTTTATTTAAATTGATTTTCTATACCAAAACTCATTATTTTCATACTCTACAAATAAAGACTTATTTTATTTGATTTGGACACGAAACAAAACCCCGTGATTTTAGTGATTTAAGAGTTTTGTTGTTTATGAGTTGAGTATATTGTACTAATTAAGTTATGATATTAGTTGTGTTGTGCGGTTATTCGCGTATTGTATTGCATTTTAAGTTTTTCATAATTTTATTTGTTTTAGTAGTGACTATCCCTATTTCTCGTTTTATTATATGCAAGAAAAAAGATTAAATCAAAAATATTAAAATAAGAAAGAAAACATAAATTATTTTTTAAAAAATTATTTAATGCTTCATTATTTTAATTAAAGTTCAATTGGTAATTGTTATTAATTTTTAATCACAAAAAATAAAAACATTCAGAGGTAATAGAAAAGATAAATAACAATGCGTACCGTCTTTGATTACCTACAGATATGCATACCACGTACTTCTTCAACGTTAAGCATTTGGTTCCTTATGTGGACAAGGATCACAACAAAAATTTGAGGGAGAATTTTTCTTTACCCCCGGTGACCTGATGCATCAACATTATGAGACTTCATGTCTTTTATCTTTGGGCTTTTAATCCTTTTTAGTTGGTGTTTTAATATTTTTGACGGTTTTACTTCTTTTTTAAGCTAGGGGTTTTCTTTTATAACAAGTCTTCAAACTTCCTCTGCTTTCTCTACAAGCAATCAAGTGTTCTTAGCAACAAGTTCTTCTCGTAATCCATTGATCTACGAAAAGCTCTTGTTCTCTACTTCCCTCTGCGTCATCTATCCAATTACTTCTGCTTCCTTAGCTACCAATTAATCAGCTTCTTCTCTTTGAACTTATTCTACTCAATAACTTCAATGGTAAAACCATCCATTATGTTATTTTCGGTCTGGTTAAACTTGTTTGATTTTTTTTTGTTTAACTAAACCAAGATTCCACTGTTGGAATTGCATTGACCCTTAATCAACGACTTTCAGCAGTCACCATTTATGAAAGAATGGACTAATTGATGTCCATAGTTTCCAACCACTGCTCTCGTACATCTTTTCTTTGGCTCATTTTTCTTGATTTTGCCTAGTATATTTACATCACATGTCCACAAGATTGTATCTTAGTTTCTAAATTCCAAGAAATAATAAATTGTCAAGTTTAATTAACTTGCTATTTTTTTGAGTCCCTTATCTGGCTGGAAAACTGTGTCATACCTTTCACTCTAGTATTGTTGCACATATATTTATGTAAGAGAATAGGAACAAGAGGGCATGAGGTTTGAAGTTATTTATGTTCTTGGTGGTTTATAGCCATTTTAAATTACATTAGTTTTCTCGATATAAATGTATTTGCAGTTCTCGATTATTCAACGGTTCATTGAACGGTTTTCAGTGAAAATAGTTCATTCGAGATAAGCATGCAAAATGCTACAAATAAGGAGACTCATCATTTTCGGAGAATTGCAGATTTCTTTTCCATTTGGTGTCGAAGCTAGCCTTCAAATCATGATATGCATGAATTCCTTTGGTGTCAACGTAAGACTCGATTCAAAGCTGTAATTGGTAATTTGGTATCATCAAAAGTTTGTCCTAATCTACTTGTAGTTGTGGGGAAAACAGGCTCTTTATGATTTGTATGTGTTTCTTTTTGTTTTTGTTTGTAGTTTCTTTTCAGTTGATATCAATTAGGGGAACCGTTGTTATCACATGTTACAGGCCCGATTGATGCGTTGGATATGGAGGCACGAGTAGAGGAGTATTGGTCAGAGGGCTCGGGCTGGGACATGGCGCGGTTGGGGCAGGTATTACCGGTTAATGTGCTTTACCGTTTGAATGCAGTGGTTATTAAGGGAGTGCTGGGTTTGGAAGATAAGATTTCGTGGCAAGGAAACCCGAATGGGGAGTTTACTGTCAGTTCTGCTTACGAGTTGTTGAGGCGGGAGACAGAACCTACACCATGTATGGAGCGGTTTTTTAAGAGGATATGGGCAGTGGTGATACCAGAGAGGATACGGGTCTTCCTTTGGCTGGTAAGTCACCAAGTGATAATGACAAATGTGGAGAGAGTGAGACGCCATATTGGAGATAGTGCGGTGTGTCAAGTATGTAAAGGTGACTTTGAGTCTATCATACATATTTTGAGAGACTGTCCGGCGATGGCAGGCATTTGGTCACGGTTAGTACCGCCGCGGGAGAGACAAGCCTTCTTTGAAAAATCTTTACTAGAATGGTTGTTCGATAATTTGGGGGATAGACCATGCTCTAGCCCGGGGGATTGGTCGACTCTGTTTAGTATTGCGGTTTGGTGGGGATGGAAGTGGAGGTGCGGGTATGTGTTTGGAGAGGTTGGTAAGTGTCGTGATCGGGTGCGTTTTCTCAAGGACTTAGCTACGGAGGTCTTGGAAGCGCATAAGTTGGTGACGGTCTCTTCACAAGCCACAGGGAGAGTGGAGAGAATGATCTCATGGAAGAAGCCGGGGGAAGGTTGGGTTAAAGTGTCTACGGATGGTGCTAGTCGGGGTAATCCGGGACCGGCGTCGGCTGGAGGAGTTATTAGAGACGAGGCAGGGCGCTGGTTAGGTGGATTTGCGCTCCACATTGGCATATGTTCGGCTCCGTTGGCGGAGTTGTGGGGAGTCTACTATGGCCTGTTGATCGCTTGGGAGCGAGGTTTTAGGCGAGTGGAGTTGGAGGTGGATTCTGAGTTGGTGGTGGGATTTCTAAAGTCAGGGATAAGTGATGCTCATCCGCTGGCATTCCTGGTACGCTTGTGCCATGGCTCTTTCTCAAGGGACTGGATAGTCCGGGTTACTCATGTGTATAGGGAGGCTAATCGTCTTGCAGACGGATTAGCGAACTATGCGTTCTCGTTGCAGTTAGGTTTTCATTCATTTGATTCTTGTCCTAGTGTTGTTCATCCTATTATGCTAGCAGATTCGGTTGGGACAGAAAGTCCACGTCATGTTCGGTTGTAATTCCTTTTTAATTAGTTCGTAATAAAATGTGGAAGACAATTGTCTTCCCCTCTCTTACAAAAAAAAAAAAAAAGAAAAAAAGAAATTCATAAAAATTCTCAACTATGCATTTTCTTTGAAAAAGTCTTAACTTTCCATATAAATAACCAACTTCTATTAAATTCTCTAATAAATCGTAAATATTTGTTGAGTTTGCTAATTTGGGTCCAACGTTAAGTCATGAAACGGAACAGAAATACGGTGCTTCGATTTCGTTATTGAACTCCCGTTTATGAGCAAAACGACGTCGTTTGAAGGCATAACAAAATTCCCAAATCGCTTTTATTCTCCCAAAATTTCCATATGAAAACCGATTCGTTTTGTTTATTAACTAAAACATAACCCGTTTATTTGTTTCGTTTAGGGGCTTAACGATGTGTCTAAATTGACAAAGTCAATACAAGTTTACGATTTGATATAAAGTCAATAAAAATCGATATATGTTAACAAAAATAAAATTGAGGCTTTTTTCCAACGAAAACGTATTGTTAAAACTTTTAAGACATTTTTTCCTGAAGAAAATGGATATCGACTTACGAATAAAAATCATATATAATTAAATTGTTTAAAAATTTTATAACGACAGTGCGGTGTGCGGATACGAACGGACGAACCTAGTTAGTTAAATCGTGAAGGACAGAGACCGAAACGTCATCGTTTCAGATGAGGAGACACCACCACCGATGCCAAATCGGCTCCGATAGCGAAACCGGATCCGAATCCGATTCCGATACCGACACGGCGATGCGATGCATCTCTTGTCGGGAAGAGTACCTCCCCCGCAACGCTGGCACCTGCAAAGAGTGCTACGTCGAAGCCGGCGAAACTGAGGAAGAACTTAAACGCGAGATCGATGACCTCAAAGCTAAAGTTTCTTTCCTTCGCTTATCTTCTTCTCTCGATCATGGAACCAGCTCAAGCTCTAGATCCTTCACTGATCTTGTTCTCATCGCTTCTCAAGACTCCGCCGGATCTCCTCCCATTCCCGCTCATAAATCCGTTCTGGTTCGTTTCACAATTCAACAACTTAATTTGATTTGAATTTACTTGCAATAATCAAAATTTAGGGTTTGTTACTTAGAATTATTTGGCTAATTGTGAGATTTAGGGTTTGTTCTAGTGTTCTTGAATTAAGAAGATGCAGGAACTATGTTTTAGGAAGAGTAGTGTTTTTTGTGTACTTGTGCTTTTAATGATGATATGTGTTGATATGACCGATGATATCTCGCAATTGATCGATTCTAAAATCTCTTTTTTAGATGTTGTTTCTTAGAAAAACTATGTGAATATTGCTGGCAGGTGAGTCGTTCGCCAGTTTTCAAAGCAATGCTTGAAAATGAGATGGAAGAGAGTCTTAGCGGCACAATCAAGATCAGCGACGTATCTTATGATGCGCTTCGGACTTTCGTATATTATCTCTACACAGCTGAAGCATGTCTTGATGAGCAAATGGCATGTGATCTTTTGGTCATGTCAGAGAAATACCAAGTGAAACATCTCAAGAGTTATTGTGAGAGGTTTTTGGTAACCAAACTCAGTCCGGATAACTCTCTCATGACCTATGCCTTTGCCCACCAGCACAACGCAAAACATGTTCTCGATGCTGCTTTGTCGCAGATTGTAGAAAATATGGAAAAACTTACTAAAAGAGAGGAATACATGGAGCTCGTGGAAAAGGATCCTCGTCTTATTGTTGAAATCTATGAAGCCTATCTCTCGAAACAGGTTAACACAGCAGCTGGAGGAACTAGCACAAGCAAAACTGGTTGAAAAAAAAAAAAGTTTATTGTTGTTCTAAAGTAAACAAGAGGTAAATTCTTGTTTCCCTTCCTTTCTCTTTTAGGTATAGTATGGTTAGGCTCAGCAGAACATGGTTTTGTGAAGCACTAGAAATTGCCATTACTTAAAATTGTTGCAAACTAGTAGGAAGTATATTTGATTTCTTCTCCCTGATATTGTTGGGGCAGTGTCTATGTGTTTTTTATTTCTGTCATTTTCATTTAATTACTCAAAAGTTTCTTTTCATTTTATCACTGTTCTTTTCATTCATTTTCCTCTTATTTCTGTCATTTATTTTAGTGGTCACCAGTTTGAAACCCATATATTTTTCCTTTTTCCTTCCAATTATAATAAAATCAAAGGAGCTAAAGAAATAAGAAAGAAGCCAATGGAAATATTTTCAAATGAAATAAAAGTATCCAAAGCATATGAAACGTTGGAACTCTTTAAATCAAAGGACGAGGGAACACCCAACTCAAATCTTCCGAACCTGAAACCCTAAACTGCTAACTAAAAACTTTAATCAACAATCCTTTGTTTTGTTCCCACTCGCCTTCCCCTCCGCCACCATATAGAGCTCGGAGGTTAACTTGGTCAGACGGTGTAGAATCATCCGCTTTCCAAGCTTCCAATCATCAATCATCAATCTTGTGTTTGCCGCCTTCTGCTCACACCTCTGCTTCGAACCCACCGGTTCCTTATGATCATACTGCGAATTCCCCGGCTTGAGACGGCAGCCGACCGCGGTTGAAGACGGCCTATGTCGAATGATCCAAGCTCGAATAACCCACCTTCCATTTCATCATCCGACTCACTGTCATCTTCATAACTGTCATCATGATGACCATAAGCATTATTGTATGGCTCAATCACATAGTCTCCAAATACCATAGCCCCAGGTGTTGACGCCATGACTGTGCTGATTACATCACTCCTCTCCCTCTCAACCTCGAGCTTCTTCCATTTCGCCTCCAGCACAGGGTCTATGGCTCTTGGTTTGACTCTCGGATGAACCTCCTTAACATGCTTCTTGAGCTGTCTATAGCTTCCATAAAACAAACACTTATCTTTCATGCATGACCTTTTCTTAGAATTCAGATACTTCCGTTCCTTTTCCACAACAGTCCAACCTTTCACCTGACCCCTACAAAGCGGGCACAATAGCTCTGGCGGTTTGTCACTTTTCTCATCCTTTGCATAGGCCTTTTTGTACTGCTCTAGACAATTTGAGAAACGGTTTCCCGTGGCACACATGTAAGGACGGCATCCTTTGTGGTAAGATGAGCAAAGGAGGACGACCGAGTTGTGAGGAACCTCAAGACAGACAGGGCATGTCACACCCTTCCAAGGTTTTCTTTTCAGAGCCTTACCATATCCCTTTTCCTGGAGTGTTTTGTTTATATCTTTGAATTTATCAGGATTCCTAGGACAGGGTGGAAACCGAGTTAACGATGCCTGCTCCTTAGTTCTCCCCATCTGCTACTTAAATCCACAACAAAAATGACAATCAATATTAAGAAATAGAATTCAATCACAAGAATCTTATCGAGTAATCAACAATTCTATGCAAATTTGCAACTGACAAACACAGAATGCGCATCAACTAATTCATTACAATTTCGTAACCTAAGAGTTTTATGTTTCTGAATAATTCCGGTAAACTGATGGACTCAGAGGGTATCGTGCAGAAACAGCCTATTTCTCACATCATGCCCTACAAAGACAGTATTAACACGAAATAACATAGTCTAGGAGTTTCACACCTTTGATTGTGATCCATGAACTAACTTTCGGAAGGTTCAAACCGCATACTGTAATGATATACCACAAGAAGCAGAAACTAATCCAAGAAAATATCTTTAACTGCCCTATATTTAAAGAAAGGGGATCCCTTAAAGAAAGGCAAGAATGCTCCTAGCACAAAAAACAAACAAACTAGAGAACTTTTTTCCATGACAATGGGATAAGCCCAAAAAACACATTTGGATCCCAAGAAGGAACATGGTTCTAAATGATTCTTTTGTAAGTGGTGCATCCTTACCTTGCCCTACACACCATCCTACCCAACCCCAACCCATCTTGCCAGCAGCTTTATCGGCGGGAAAACACCCACAACTTTTGAGGTTCACGCCGACAACATTGGCTCAAACTCTACAGGATTTTCCCGCCGAGGAACTTCAAACACAGTAAGTTTTCGATAATACCGAACATAACTAAATGCAAGTGAAGAAAATATATCCACTAGCTATGAAATGCCCTAATACGATATGTGTTTCCAATTAAAAGAAGTATAACTTAACCCAAAATTCATACTTGTTTATAAACAAACTAGTATTAAGTAAACATGAGAATAAAACCAATCTTTGTTACAGTTATTAAAAGTTTAAAACCAACAAATCCAATGATTAGCACGGTAATCTCAACAAAAGAAGAAAATAACATTTCAAGTCTGGAAACAAAACCCAAAATAAAACGAACTCAAGTAATGAAGGTCCTCATATGTCTAGCCCTAAAAAGAATCCCCAAAACCAGACTCGTTACTCCTCCTAAGGGGGAAGTGCTCAATGAGGTCTCTAGACTATGAACTCAACATGAAATCAACATCTAAACAGTCATAGACCAGAAACAGATTTCTAGAACTAATCACTAAGACTGTAAGAAAAATGTTTTTAAGCATGAGCAGTTGTCATATAAGTCATCAAAACGATGTCCAAATCCAAAGCATTAGAATGATATATAGTTCCAATGGACCAAGGTGCTATCCAAATCCAAACATCAAGAATATAAATCAAACTCCAAAACATAAAAAGTGCTAATCCAAACATATAAATCTAACTTTTCAAGAGTCTCTTTGGAAAAACAAAACCCAACACATCCATTAAACCATAAAACAAAAAGTCCATCAAATACAAACCTAATTTCATGTCTATATTGTATAATTCAGAATCTTAAACGGCTAAAAAACACTCACCAACCAAAGATCCGATTGATCTAAATTACCCGCTAGTTTCAAGATTCTTAAAGCTCAGATTGCTAAGCCCCTGAAAGATTTTGACTAATTCAAAGGAAAAATTTGGAAATAAGCCCACCACCAATTCTCTCTACACATAAAACACTAATATACAATCTCATCGACTTATTATAACTAATCTAGTTAAACCAAATGACATATCATTACCGGTGAAACAATTTATTATACCAACTAGATTCAACCTTCTAGGATAATAATTGATTAAACCAAAGATGCTACTGCTTCTTTGAACTCAAAGGACCTCTAGACAAAAGGTGCTACTAGAGCTAAGAAACATGAAAGTGACGATTTTTATCGCCAAGATCGAAAACATTTTCAATTTTCAATAGTATGTATTCTTAATTCAGTGTGGTGAAAACAAAAATCCCACAAGCGAAGCATTGTTTAAACATATAAACAAGCACGAAAGAGAGTAAACTCTTCGAAAGTTTTGATTTTGACAAATTTGCATACAGAGTCAAGTAAAAGTCGAGATCTTTTAGTAACCAAAAGCATAAGAACAAATAACAATAGAAATGAGTAAGCGAGAAAACCCTAGAACACAAAATCGTGAAACCCTAAATCTCAGAACAAAGATCGAATTCGCTAGATTTAACTCCAGTAGAAAACAGATCGACATCAGAGGAGATCGAATTGATTAGAAAATGGAGCTTACCAGGCGATGAGGGTGGTTTTGGTTATGGATGGAGGAGACGGGCCTTAAGCGGCGGTCTCAGCGGCGGCGATAAATGTAACCTGACGGCGAAAGATTGATGTTTGTTTTATATTAAGGCCTAAATTGTTTGGACGCTTTTTGAAGTTGAGATCTATCTAGTAGGATCTATTGTTTTGATGGTGTTTGAAATATTCTAGGCCCATTTTTGTTATTTGCTAAAGCCCGTAGGCCCGATTAAATAGTGTTAGTCAACCAAATATTTTGTATGAATTTAAGTTTTTTTCTTTTTTTCTCCAAAAGTAAATTTTATTCAATAAACCCAACATAGATCTAAATGCCCCGAAACACTTTCATTAATTTTTATGTCCTTCATTGGTTAATTAAGATCAACACAGACATAAAGGCTCTAAGAGTTGGAGATGGAGCTGTGTTAATGTCTAAAGGCAAAGGAGACATTGAGGTTATGACCAAGAAAGGCTAGAGAATAATAAAGGTTGTGTTCCTTGTACCAAAACTTGGTAAGACTCTTCAAAATGTTCCACAAATGATTACAAACGAATAACAAGTGAAGTTCAAAGAGAAAAAGTGTAACCGGGCCTTGTGGCCTAGTGGTAAAGGGGTCACAACTGTGACTTCCGTCACCAGGGTTCGAGGCACGGCCATTGGCAGGTTTACATAGGGGAATTGCCAGCCTCGTGGAATTAGTCCTTGGACCTAGGAAGCCTTTGCGAGACCCGCAGTTATTCAAAAAAAAAAAAAAAAAAGAAAAAGTGATCGATTGGGAAGAAAGATTGGTGAAGTTCTGACGGCTAATAAGAGTTTTCATATAAGATGGTCGTCTCATGAAAAAAATGCAATGTGGCATAGAAGGCTTGGTCACTTGGGATACTCAAATATGTAGTCAAAGGAAATGTGATGCGGACATCCAAATCAAACCAAACCGGGAGTATACCAAACCAACCGGTACATGTATCAAACCGGTTGATATGGAGCATTTTGGAGGATTCTTGCCCAAATGGAGTCATAATCAAGCACAAGGCCTAGGGTTAATTATTCACCCGAAAATTAACCCTAAGAAGACTAATGATGGTTCAAGAGGAATCAAAGACCAGCGAGCCGAATCACCATGTAATGGGAATTTGACCGTTGCACTCTTTTTCCCTTATCTAGGGTTTGTCCCAATGGGTTTACCTAGAAAGGTTTTTAACGAGGCAACATCAAGTCATCAAGGAATCATTTACCAAGCAATTGATTCGAAGATGTTACAAGTACATATAGCTGATGTACTTGCTGACAAACCGGCTGCACTACTTGCTGAAGTACTCGCTGAACTACTTTCTGAAGTACTGCGCCAAATGAAGCCAAACAAGGAAATCTTCCTTATTCTACACTTGGACGCATCTCAAAGCTACACATGGAAACCAGGAGAACATCTAGGCTACACAAGACATGTACCACACAAACTTTGGTACACCTTACCACACAAGAACCCGCAGAGTTATTACTTGTCATATATGGAGCCGAAGGAGATCAACTTGCAACAACTCTTTCCTTCTTTGTTTGTGCGCTTGTGTGAGAATCTTGAGACCCTCCAGAAGCTTCCAAGACGTCACAACTTCCTCCCCAAGTTGACAAGATACAAGGCACACCTCACTTGCCTTACTTGGACCGATTTTTCATTTAATGTCCAATATTTTCATTAATGTTTTGTTTCTTTCTTTGGAATCTTATAACGTTGTACTCAGCCCTATATAAGCTGATCATTAGTCTCATTGTAAAGCACCCTTGATCATTTTTAAAGTAATAGAAACGTTTTCTACTTGTCAAAGTTTGAGTCTTTGTCATTGTTCTATAGTCTTTGTGAGTGAGTCACCAAGTACTTCAGGATTTTGCGGATTAAGTTTGTTGAGTGATTCAACATCCTTCATTCGTTCATTGATCGAGTGAGTCGATTATCCCACTGATTGAGCGAGTCAATCACCCTTCTATCCATTAATTCCCCTTGAATCGATCCCACACGAGAGAAGCGATCGCCGTCGTGTCAGATCACCACCTTCATCATCCCACCTTCCGCGTGGCAAGATTGGAACTCTTGATCATCAAGTGATCTAAAGTTGGATTAGCTCCAATTCTTGCATCATCTGGTATCAGAGCTTCAAAAGCTCCTATCCCCAAGGTTGTATCTTTTCAACTTATATCTTTATCTATTTTTTAAGTTTTATTATTTAATTTTTATAAATTTGAAAACCAAATAAAAATTTTGTTTCTTGCTTTGTTCTTGTTTATTTGCTTCAGTACTTTGATTAAAAAAAAAAAAATTATTATTTGCTTCAGTTTATTATTTATTTCTGAATTATTAAAAAAAAAGCAATAAGAATTTTATTTTGTTATTTTAAAATTAATTTTCGAAATTTTATTTTTATAAAATCAGAAAATGAAAAAAAAAATTGTTTTTTTTCCATTTTCTGTTATTTGAAATTTTCAAATTTATTTTAAAAAAAAAATTGCATATTTATTCTTTTTTTTTTTTCCATATTTTGTTGATTTACTTTTAATACATTTTTTCCTTTGCTTGTGCGAGATTCTTCTATCACGAAGACCAGAGCAAATATGGAGTCCATTGAGTTCTATTCGGATGAAGAAATTCAAGGAGAAGAGCCTTACCAAGTCATGTCGGATGAGGAAGACAATTATGGAAGCATCTCTTGGCATCAAAATGATCATTCAGATTCTGAATCAAGAGATGAACCAGGCCGTGAAGCACCAGAACAGAACCGCCTGACTCATACAACACCAATACAGGCTATTCTAAACCATGGATTAAATTTAATGATGATTTTTGCAGCCATGGTTCAAAATCTCCATTGACTCGAGCTATGTCTTTTTCAGAAAAAAAGAATTACCTTAAATGGGAAGATGACATGGAGTATGAAGGAGCAACAACAAAGGAATATCATAACCAACGTCCTCTAAGGCGTGAAGAGAAGCCTTACCACCACATATTGTTACACCGAGTGCCCACAACCTCACGTCAAGAAAAACCGAGAGACAAGTACTTACACACAAACCCAAGAGTAGTACAGGAAGTGACTCAAGAAGGCACTCAGAGAGCATCAATTTGGCCTAAACCGCATCCTCGTGGTAGACGTGACTACCTAGCTGAGAGAGACTCAGGGATCACTAATCTAAGTGGAGGCGAGCTGAAACGTGGCACTCGTCGAGACCCACTACTATCCAATCCCACCCGAACCTACCAAACAAAACTCAGGTTATCTCTAGACAATGGTTATGAGTATTTTGGAACTGAATCTTTTGAGTTTGCAGGACGTGAAAGAGATTATCTACAATGGGAACTCAACATGGATAAGTACTTTAGGTATTATTCCATTCCCAAAGAAGAGAGACTCAACTATTGTCTTGAACAACTCATGGGAAGCGCAAAACGTTGGTGGGACCGAGAAGAAAAGGATAGACGATGGTACAAGGAGCCATCACTCAAAACATGGGGACAACTAAAGTTTCTTATGAGGGAGAGATATGCACCTCACATGCTTTCCAAGCCTGTTCAAAACATTTACCTTCCAAAGGAACCAAGCCGAGAGAATACTACACATCAACATGTTAGTTCCAATCATAACGTGGATCAAGATTCCGCCAAGAATGAGAAATGTACAGATACAAAAGGAGATTCAAGTTGCATACCGGTACTTGAACCACCTGCTGAACCACATGCTGAACCACACGCTGAACTAAAGCAAGGTAAGTCTTCTAATTGTTCAAAATCAAATGAACCGACATGTTATAGATGTCATAAGAGGGGACATTTTGCTGCAACTTGCTCTAAGAGACAAGTAGAAGATGTCACATCACTAGAGCTGAAATTGAATGCATCTAACTCCAATGATTGTCTAGTGAATTCAAGTTTAGAAATTCCCAATTCTAGATTAATGCACTTGTCTTTGCCAAAGGTTATTGATGCAGGTCTGTGTCCTAGCATGGATGAAAAATCTAAAGAAGTAGACCACAAGGAAGAAACTCTAAAGGAAGTTGAGAATGACATAAGTTTTGAGGAACAACTTTCGGAAACAACAACATTATCACAAGTTTGCCGAAATAAGACTTATGATCAAGCAGCCCTCAAAGGACGTGTGATGAAACATCCCTGCTCAACACCAGCTGATCTTGCTTCTAATATCATCCACATCAAGGCTGAATTGATACCGAACACCTTACATGGTACACAAGTAAGCGAAACTTACTATCTTGTTCGATATTGGCATTATCTTATATTCGAAAGGAGTTTCAAGAACCCTATCCATATCATTTCAATTTTCAGTATAATGCACTTGATCTTGTCTTTAAGTGCCAGTGAAAGTACAAGTACCATGAAGATTTGCGAAGATCAAAGAGAGGCCACAACAATGTTACGGTTACTCTCGGATCAAAGCAAACAAGAAGTTGATTCTGGTCTAACACATGAAAAGGTTCAAAGTAACTTATTTCATTATGTTTATGAACGTCCCTTGACTGCCTTAATACACTTGTCTTGTGCCAAAAGTATTGAGACACATGTAGGTAATAAGGAGACACATGTGGATCCAAAAGAGGGATCAACAACGAATGATGTTGTACAACAATATCAAGAGCTTTTGATATGCAAATCTGTCACTAAGGAGAATGAAATTTTTACCAACAACATCCTGCTGCAAGAAGAACCACCAGACCAGCCATCAAATCAACAAACCAAGTTGATTTCGAAAGATACACTCACCGAGGATCTAAGTCAGGTAAGTAAACTATTACTTCTAATTGTTTCTAGCGATTCGAATGATGTGATAATAAACTTGTTAATCCTTAAAGAGTGTGAGAAAATAGTAGATCTTTTAAATAAATCTATGGAACTAATTTCTTGTCTTAGGATATATCAAGTAGCTGATCTACTTTGTGACATACTTTCTAAATCACTTTGTGGAAAAGAAATGGTTCAATCTGAAATTGGTTTACTAGTTTATATTGATCCCATGACTATTTTAATGCACTTGTTTCTTGCCCAAAGTGTTGATGAACTTGCAGGTACCAACAAAGAACACATGGAACATAAAGGTGATTCATCGGAAGTGAGGAAAGTCAACGACCAAATTCAAAACCAAAGTGAACCATCACCATTGATGCTAACACCCTCTATCATGGAGACTAGAAGAGTTTCAAACTCTTTCTTAATCAAAGAGGAACCGCCGGATTTTAAAGCTCAAGCCCAAACCCGAGAAGGAGTTAAGCAAGCAACACGACAACTCAAAGCACCGGATCAAAACAGAGGAGTGATCCTATCTTTCTTGCTCAAAGGAGAGCCACCTGATGCACCATGCATCATCAAACCGCCACCCTACCAAGGTAAGACCCTAGCCTCCCAAAATCGAATGAAAGCTAACTTGCTTTCTCTTGGTGCAGATTGTATAGTTTCGAGGTCGAAACTTTTTCAAGGGAGAGGGTATGATGCGGACATCCAAATCAAACCAAACCGGGAGTATACCAAACCAACCGGTACATGTATCAAACCGATTGATATGGAGCATTTTGGAGGATTCTTGCCCAAATGGAGTCATAATCAAGCACAAGGCCTAGGGTTAATTATTCACCAGAAAATTAACCCTAAGAAGACTAATGATGGTTCAAGAGGAATCAAAGACCAGCGAGCCGAATCACCATGTTATGGGAATTTGACCGTTGCACTCTTTTTCCCTTATCTAGGGTTTGTCCCAATGAGTTTACCTAGAAAGGTTTTTAACGAGGCAACATCAAGTCATCAAGGAATCATTTACCAAGCAATTGATTCGGAGATGTTACAAGTACATATAGCTGGTGTACTTGCTGACAGACCGACTGCACTACTTGCTGAAGTACTCGCTGAACTACTTTCTGAAGTACTACGCCAAATGAAGCCAAACAAGGAAATCTTCCTTATTCTACACTTGGACGCATCTCAAAGCTACACATGGAAACCAGGAGAACATCTAGGCTACACAAGACATGTACCACACAAAATTTGGTACACCTTACCACACAAGAACCCGCGGAGTTATTACTTGCCATATATGGAGCCGAAGGAGATCAACTTGCAACAACTCTTTCCTTCTTTGTTTGTGTGCTTGTGTGAGAATCTTGAGACCCTCCAGAAAGCTTCCAAGACGTCACAACTTCCTCCCCAAGTTGAAAAGATACAAGGCACACCTCACTTGCCTTACTTGGACCGATTTTTCATTTAGTGTCCAATATTTTCATTAATGTTTTGTTTCTTTCTTTGGAATCATATAACGTTGTACTCAGCCCTATATAAGCAGATCATTAGTCTCATTGTAAAGCACCCTTGATCATTTTTAAAGTAATAGAAACGTTTTCTACTTGTCAAAGTTTGAGTCTTTGTCATTGTTCTATAGTCTTTGTGAGTGAGTCACCAAGTACTTCAGGATTCTGCGGATTAAGTTTGTTGAGTGATTCAACATCCTTCATTCGTTCATTGATCGAGTGAGTCGATTATCCCACTGATTGAGCGAGTCAATCACCCTTCTATCCATTAATTCCCCTTGAATCGATCCCACATGAGAGAAGCGATCGCCATCGTGTCAGATCACCACCTTCATCATCCCACCTTCCGCGTGACAAGCTTGGAACTCTTGATTATCAAGTGATCTAAAGTTGGATTGCTCCATTATGTTGATTGATTTGTATTCAATTTTGAATATTTTCTTTTAATGTAGATTAGACCATGTAAGAGCTATAAAAAGGCTCATTTGTTTCATTGTAAAGACCACAAAATTTGAAAGTAATATAAAGAGTTTTCTCTAAAGCTTAGGCTTTGTTTGTTTATCTAAGTTAGGTGGATTCCTTTACTTATTAAACTTTTGTTCTTATGTCTTGTTGAGCGAGTCATCAAGGCTTAGAGCTTGTGCTGTATCAGAGTCTTATCACAACTCCGTGGTGCACTTCGCCCCACCATCATTTTCCCTCATTTGATCCCACACGAGAGAAGCGACCGCCATCGTGTCAGATTTCCACCTTCGACCATCTTTCCTTCACAAGAGAGAAGCGATCGCCAGCTTGTGAAGCCGCCATATCTATCTCATACAAGTCTCACCACCGATTCTTGTATCAAAATGGTAACTGGTCTACCAAAACTTCAAATACATAGAGAAAGATGTGAGAGCTGCATTCTAAGCAAGCACTGCCGTGATCCGTTTCCAAATCAATCTGAGCCAAAAGCAAAAGAAAAGTTGGAGGTGTTCCACACTAACGTTTGTGGGCCACTGCAAAACTCATCTCTTAGTGGTAGCAGGTACTTACTTACCTTCATTGATGATGCTACAAGAATGGTGTAGGTATATATATTTCTCTTAAAGGCAAAATCAGGGATTTTTGCTACTTTCAAGAAAGTCAAATACCTTGTTGAAAACCAAAGCGGCTGCAAAATAAAGAGGATTAGATCAGATAGAGGATCTATATGGAGAGTTCACAAGGTTTTTGGAAGAAAATGGTATTGAACGTCAGTTGGCAACAGCTTATACTCCTCAGCAAAATGGAGTGTAGAGAAAAGAAACAAAATCTTGGTGGAGATGGCAAGAGCCATGATTAAAGCTAAAGACATGCCTCTAAAATTTTGCGCCGAAGTAGTTTATACTGCAGCCAACATTAAAAACAGAACAGCAACCAGAGCCCTTAAGAGCAAGACCCCATTTGAAGCATGGAATGACACTAACTATCCTTTAGTCACATTAAAGTGTTTGGATGTGTGTGCTATGTCCATATACTTGATGAAAAGCGAAAGAAGTGGAAAACCAAGGAAGTGGTAAAGCACTATGAGCCCTCCACAGAAATAGATGTCAGAGAAGAAGAAGTAGACGACGTCAATGAGATAGAGAGAATAAATACAGAAGTGGAAATATCCAAGCAACTGGCAGTGACATTGACACTGTTAGAACAGAGGAAGAAGCAAACAAAAGAAGTTGAACGACTTGTGAAACAACAATTGAATTTTCAATAGTAATAAAATCTGAATAATAATTGAATGGGAGATTTTTATAAATATACTAAATTATATAAGAAATTTAAAAACTACACTAATTATTATAGTAATTTGAATACTACTCTTATTATATTGAAAATTTAGCATAATACCCTTTTTATTAATAAATTAAAATAATATATTTTTTAAAATAAATAAAATTCGTTATAATTTATGAATAATAAAACTCAAAAACTTATTTACAATATTTGACGTAATCGTTATCTAAAATTTTGAATATATAAGAAATAAATAATATTATTGTTGATAATATTAGTAAGATTTATTATATAACTCATAATAAATAAAGAAATAAATAAATTCTTCTTATTTTTGGTAAATTTATTCATTTTATGTTAATTTATTGATAAGGTCGATTTTTTTAACCTTTGACTTATTTTTCACTTTTGGTGACTTAATTTTCTTTTCTGTCCACTTATTTTATAACACTCGACTTATATTTTGATTAGTTGATTCATAAAACAGTCGATTTTTTGAACTATTGACTTCTTTATTTTGTTCACTGATTTAGAATTTTTGCTGTGGCATGTTTATTCAATGTAGACTTATTTCATTCTATGTTGACTTACTAATAAGGTCAATTTTTGAACTATCGATTTATATTTTATTTTGTTAACTAAATTGATTTTCTATCGACTTATTTTAAAACAGTCGACTTATATTTTGGTTGATTGATATTTGATATAGGCGACTTTTAAATACTATTTGTTATAATACATCATATTGGACTTATAACCGGGCCCAATAAGCCCATCAGGGTTATTCATTATGTACTCTAAAACCCTAGGTTTATATGCCTATATATATGTATCATTATTCATGGAATGGAATGAGACAACAATAAGTTTCACAACACGTTATCAGCACGATTTTGCTCTTAACAACCCTAACCCTAAAAAAACCGCAAAACACTGTTCATCACCGATACTGTTCATCACCGACACTGTTCATCACCGACACTGTTCATCACCGATACTGTTCATCACCGATACTGTTCATCGCCGACACTGTTCATCGCCGACAATGTTCATCGCCGACACTGTTCATCGCGGCACTGTTCATCGCGGCACTGATTCATCGCGACACTGTTCATCGCGACACTGTTCATCGCGGTACTGTTCATCGTTGCAGCAGCGTGAGTTACCGAGGTCTTTAGCTCTCGGTTCTAGTCCATACAACCCCATAAGGTGAAAGGTAACATCAAAACCCTAAAGAATAATAACCGGTTCCAAAAATAATAACCGAATCTCAATCTGGGTAAACCGGTTCAAACTGGTTATTCTAAACCGGAAATCAATTCGGCCCAAACCGGAATCTAATATTCCGGTCCAACTTTAAACCATTAAACCGAACTTATGTTCCGTATCCTTAAAATTTACGATTCTCGAGAAAGTTTCCCAAATTAGAAACTTTCCTCATTTAGAAGGTTTCCTCAAATAGAAACCTTCCTCATTTAGAAAGTTTCCCAAATTAGAAACTTTCCTCATTTAGAAGGTTTCTTCAAATAGAAACTTTCCTCATTAAGAAAGTTTCCCAAATTAGAAACTTTCCTCATTTAGAAGGTTTCCTCAAATAGAAACTTTCCTCATTTAGAAAGTTTTCCTCAAATAGAAACTTTCCTCATTTAGAAGGTTTCCTAAAATAGAAACTTTCCTCATTTAGAAGGTTTCCTAAAATAGAAATTTTCCTCAAATAGAAACTTTCCTCATTTAGAAGGTTTCCTAAAATATAAACTTTCCTCATTTAGAAGGTTTCTTCAAATAGAAACTTTCCTCATTTAGAAAGTTTCCCAAATTAGAAACTTTCCTCATTTAGAAGGTTTCCTCAAATAGAAACTTTCCTCATTTAGAAGGTTTCCTAAAATAGAAACTTTCCTCATTTAGAAGGTTTCCTAAAATAGAAATTTTCCTCAAATAGAAACTTTCCTCATTTAGAAGGTTTCCTAAAATAGAAACTTTCCTCATTTAGAAGGTTTCCTAAAATAGAAACTTTCCTCATTTAGAAAGTTTCCCAAATTAGAAACTTTCCTCATTTAGAAGGTTTCCTCAAATAGAAACTTTCCTCATTTAGAAAGTTTTCCTCAAATAGAAACTTTCCTCATTTAGAAGGTTTCCTAAAATAGAAACTTTCCTCATTTAGAAGGTTTCCTAAAATAGAAATTTTCCTCAAATAGAAACTTTCCTCATTTAGAAGGTTTCCTAAAATAGAAACTTTCCTCATTTAGAAGGTTTCCTAAAATAGAAACTTTCCTCAAATAGCAAATGACCCGGAATGAAAACTTTCCTCATTTAGAAAGTTTCCCAAATTAGAAACTTTCCTCAAATATAAAGTTTCCTCAAATAGAAAATTTAATTATTTTCATATAACTATTATGAAATCATATTCATGTTTTTCAGATGTCAAACATTCAGAAAGTTGAGTTCGAGGCCCTCAAGGTCTCCGGTGAAAACTATCTCGAATGGGCCCTGGACACCAGGATTTTCCTCAACTCAAAGGGACTGGGTGAGTGTATCAAAGCGGATAACACCGCATCTGATAAAGACCGGTCCCAGGCGATATTTCATATCCGCCATCATTTGGCCGCAAGCCTCAAACAGCAATATCTCACTCTTGAGAACCCACTCGAACTTTGGGTGGCCCTGAAATCACCAGAAAACGGTGCTCTTGCCACAAGCCAAGTTTGACTGGAAGGAACTCCGGTTCCAAGATCACAAATCTGTGGATGACTACAACTCCGAACTCTTTCGGATAGTTTCAATCATGAAACTATGTGGTGAAGAGGTGTCTGATAATGATCTCCTCGAGAAAACATTATCCACCTTCCATACCCAAAATATTGTGCTTCAGCAACAATATCGTGCAATGAAACATACATTGTACGAAGATTTGTTATCCTGTTTGCTCTTGGCCGAGAAAAACAATGACCTGTTAATGAGGAACAGTGCCCAGAGGCCCCCGGGATCGGCTCCAGTACCAGATTCCCGCAAAGAATCCTACAATATCCAGCGAGACAGATCCTCAGATCGTGGCAATGGACGTGGAAAGCGTGGACGCAGAAATGGACGTGGCAACCGACATAACCTCGGTTATGGTTTCGGTAAGGGCCGTGGTATCTCTTAACCAAACTGCCCTGCCCACCCAACCAATCAGTCTGCCTGTACCAGATGCGGAATGTTCAATCACTGGACAAAGAACTGTCGTACTCCCAAGTTTCATTGCGATTTGTATCAGAAACATGGGAAAGCACCTGCTGAAGCTAACATGGCCCAGCAAGTTGATGCTAACGACACCACCACCGAGCCGACCGATCTCATGGACTACGAGACCTCAGATCTCCTCGATTGATTCTATCATCTGAACACTTGCTTATTCTAGCGGGTAGCTCGAACTTAATAGAAGGCCACGGCCAGGCCCATGTGTTGTTATCAAACGGCACACATCTGGACATTCCAGATGCATTATACTCACCCAGCTCAAAAGAAACCTTTTAAGTTTTAAAGATATCAGACTTAATGGTTTCCACATAGAAACCCAGGGTGAAAGGAACAAAGAATCCCTACTGATCACTAAGATCACACTTGGCCATAAACAAGTCCTCGAGACTATACCCGCATTATCTACTGGCCTTTACTATGCTAAGGTCAGTATGATTGAGGCTAATAATGCTCTCAAAGCCCGGTTCCAAGATTACACTATTTGGCACGACCGGCTTGGTCATCCCGGTACAACTATGATGCGTAAATTAATCCAAAGTTCTCAAGGACACACCCTTCAAGAAAACCGAGTCTTCCCTCAGCACCTCACGTGCACAACTTGCTCCCAAGGGAAGTTGATCACCCGGCCCTTCACCAGTAAAAGTGTCCAAAGAGATATTACATTTTCTGGAAAGAATCCAAGGAGACATCTGTGGTCCCATTCACCCACCTTCTGGGACATTCCGGTACTTCATGGTACTAATAGATGCTTCGACCCGTTGGTCGTATGTATGCCTGTTGTCTTCTCGGAACCAAGCTTTTGCTAGGTTGTTGGCTCAAATCATCAGATTACGAGCCCACTTTCCAGACTTCCCACTAAAGACTATACGTCTTGATAATGCTGGTGAATTCACTTCCCAAGCGTTTAATGATTACTGTATGGCCATGGGGGTGACCGTTGAACATCATGTGGCACATGTCCATACTCAGAATGGACTTGCTGAATCATTCATTAAACGAATCCAATGTATTGCTCGACCATTACTCATGAGGTCGAAACTCCCGGTCTCAGCTTGGGGACATGCAGTATTACATGCTGCTGAACTAATACGCATCCGACCATCTAGTGAGCATAGATATTCCCCATCCCAATTATTACAGGGTCATGAGCCAGACATCTTCCATCTCAAAACATTTGGGTGCTCAGTATATGTACCCATTGCTCCACCACATAGAACTAAAATGGGACCTCAAAGGAGGATGGGAATATATGTTGGTTTTGATTCCCCCACCATCATCAAATATCTCGAGCCGACCACTAGAGACCTATTTAAGGCCAGATATGCGGATTGCCAATTTGATGAATCAGTATATCCAACATTGGGTGGAGAGAAACACAAGCTGGTCAAAGAGCTATCATGGAATCAAACATCCTTAAATTGGCAAGATCCTCAGACTCTAGAATGTGATTCGGAGATCCAAAAGATTATACACTATCAAAAGCTAGCTAATCAATTGCCAGATTCCTTTGCTGACCCGAACAAAGTAACAAAATCGTACATACCAGCTTGTAATGCACCAGTACGAATCACTGTTCCAACGGGACAAGTTCAAGTTGCTACAGAGTCTGCATCACGAAATAAACGTGGCAGACCTCTAGGTTCCAAAGACAAGAATCCACGGAAATCAAAGAAAGGTGCAATAGTTGAAACCGGGATTCCCAATATAACAGACATAG